CTACTACTACTACTACTACTACTACGACTACTACTACTACTACTACTACTACTATTACTACTACTACTACTACTACTTCTATTTTTACTTATACTACTACTTCTACTTCTTCTTCTTCTTCTATTACTAGTACTACTACTACTACTACTACTACTACTATTACTACTACTACTACTACTACTACTACTACTACCACTACTACTACTACTACTACTACTACTACTACTACTACTACTACTACTACTACTACTACTACTACTACTACTACTACTACTACTACTACTACTACTACTACTACTACGACTACTACGACTACTACGACTACTACGACTACGGCTACGACTACGACGACTACTACTATTACGACGACTACAAATAATAATGATACTACTGATAGCATAATAATAAAAAATGAAAATGATGATAATACTTAGCCTGGCGAAGAACCCAACCATATGCAGTTGTCAGTACCGGAGCTGCGGGTTTCATCTTCAGTGGAACTCCCCATAGGACTACGGAACGTGTGAGGGGTGTGCCGAAATGGGTGCCACTGGGGCATTCGGTGAAGCTCCCCATGGGGACATGAAACACGCGCGGGGCATGCCGACATGGGTAGCGGAAACGCATGTGAGGGCCGCCACTGGGGCCTCCAGTGGAGTTCCGTATGGGTCCCCGAAACATGATGCTGCTGCGGGGGGGGTGCGGGGATGGGTGGCGGAGACGCATGTAAGCGCCGCTACTGGGGCCTTCGGTGGAGCTCCCTATGGGGCCACGAAGCGCGTGAGAGGTGTTCTGGGATGTGTGGCGGGGACGCATGTGAGCGCCGCCACTGGGGCCTTCCGTGCAGCTCCCTATGGGGCCACGAAGCGTGTGAGGGGTGTGCCGAATTGGGTGCGGGTGGTGACGCATGCGGGCGGTGCCACTGGGGCCTTCGGTGGAGCTCCCTATGGGGCCACGAAGCCTGTTGTTGCGAGGGGCGTGCCGGGATGGGTGGCGGGGACGCATGTGAGCGCGGCCGCTGGGGCCTTCGGTGGAGCTCCCAATGGGGCCACGAAACGTGTGAGGGGTGTGCCGAATTGGGTGGGTGTGGGTGACGCATGTAAGCGCCGCCACTGGGGCCTCCGGTGGATGATGGGGCCACGAAACCTGTGAGGAATGTGCCGAATTGGGTGTGCGGGACGCATGCGCATGTGAGCGCCGCCACTGGGGCCTACGGTGGAGCTCCCTATGGGGGCACTAAACGTGTAAGAGGTGTGCCGAATTGGGTTTGCGGGACCCATGCGGGCGGCAGCACTGGGACCTTCGGTGGAGCTCCCTATGGGGCCACGAAACGTGTGAGGGGTGTGCCGAATTGGGTGTGCGGGACGCATGCGGGCGGCAGCACTGGGGCCTTCGGTGGAGCTTCCTATGGGGCCACGAAACGTGTGGGGGTGTGCCGAAATGGGTGTGCGTGACGCATGCGGGCGGCAGCACTGGGGCCTTCGGTGGAGCTCCCTATGGGGCCACGAAACGTGTGAGGGGTGTGCCGAATTGTGTGACGCATGCGGGCGGCAGCACTGGGGCCTTCGGTGGGGCTCCCTATGGGGCCACGAAACGTGTGAGGGGTGTGCAGAAATGAGTGTGCGTGACGCATGCGGGCGGCAGCACTGGGGCCTTCGGTGGAACTCCCTATGGGGCCACGAAACGTGTGAGGGGTGTGCCGAATTGGGTGTGCGTGACGCATGCGGGCGGCAGCACTGGGGCGTTCGGCGGAGCTCCCTATGGGGCCACGAAACGTGTGAGGGGTGTGCCGAATTGGGTGTGCGGGACGCATGCGGGCGGCAGCACTGGGGCCTTGGGCGGAGCTCCCTATGGGGCCACGAAACGTGTGAGGGGTGTGCCGAATTGGGTTTGCGGGACGCATGCGGGCGGCAGCACTGGGGCCTTCGGTGGGGCTCCCTATGTGGCCACGAAACGTGTGAGGGGTGTGCCGAATGGGTGTGCGTGACGCATGCGGGCGGCAGCACTGGGGCCTTCGGTGGAGCTCCCTATGGGGCCACGAAACGTGTGAGGGGTGTGCCGAATTGGGTGTGCGTGACGCATGCGGGCGGCAGCACTGGGGCCTTCGGCGGAGCTCCCTATGGGGCCACGAAACGTGTGAGGGGTGTGCCGAAATGGTGTGCGTGACGCATGCGGGCGGCAGCACTGGGGCCTTCGGTGGAGCTCCCTATGGGGCCACGAAACGTGTGAGGGGTGTGCCGAATTGGGTGTGCGTGACGCATGCGGGCGGCAGCACTGGGGCCTTCGGCGGAGCTCCCTATGGGGCCACGAAACGTGTGAGGGGTGTGCCGAAATGGAAGAGGAAAGAGGGGGAGGAGGAGAGGAGGAAGGAGGGAACGTGGGGCACCGTCTCTTCAAAACGAAGACCCAACACCACAGGATGTTTGGGGGAAAAATACTACTAATAATAAATAATAAACATAGTAATAAGAATGCTAACAATACGAAGAAGAATAAGAAGAAGAAGGGGATGATGCCCGCTTGCAACTCGCATGCAACGCGCACCGTAAATGTGCGATCGCCCTCCCACGCCTGCAAACTGCTGCCTACCGCAGACAGTGCTGCTCCCCGAACACGGACATCCACCGCAAGATTTCGTCGATGTGACACTCCTCAACGCCGACACACGAAGGGAACACCCAGCGGAAGAAGTTCGGCAGGCCCCTCACGGCCTGGAAGCCGATCATGGCGTGACCGCCCCTCTGCATGGCGGCCTTGATGGCTGGCGCGACCTGGTGGATCGGGTGGTCCTTCTTGGCAGGGCTGTGGGCTTGGGCGCAGACGGCCCAAGAGGTAGCCCAGGCTGGCCTCAGCAAGCCCCCAGTCTAGTCCGGGGTGGGGTCAACATACTGTTCCCGCCGCCCCCTGGGTGTTCCGCCCGCGGACTCGAAACGTTGAGCCTGGCCAGGGCTTCTGTATGACTTTTGAAGGCAGCCGGGGCTGCCTCTGGAGGGCTGCCTGTGCACAACCCCGAGCCTTGCTGTGGTCCTTGTCCAGGCGCTCTTTGGGGGGCAGAGGCCGCATCGCCTCTGGGACGTACCAGAAGCAGAGGTTGGTACAGCTGGGCTCGAACGCGAGCACGAATGCCCCGCCCGAGCTGCGCATGCGGGAGGCGGCGTAGTCGCTGAGGGCGAAGCACCGCTCGATGCGGGCCGCGCAGCCGGCGTCGCCCAGCGACTTGAACAGCATCCACAGCTTGACCATGTCCGCCTTCCGCCCGCACTGGATGGTCTTGTCGCCGACGTCGAGGTCCGCGTGCAGTTTGTCCGGCTGGAACAAGTACGCGGCGCTCGTCGCGTTGGCCGCCCTCAGAGCGCCAGGGTGGCGGCACAGGAAAACCGCACACTGCAGAGCCGCGCCCAGCATCTTGTGAGCCGACATGGAGAACGAGTCCTTACCGTGAGCCAACAGGGTTCTCGAGGGAACGGGGCCATGGACAACCGGGGGCTCTCCTGAAGGGGCCTCTCATCTCGAAGCGCTGCCTGACCGTCTCCGGGACAGGGAAGAACCTTCAGGAGCCGAGAACTGCGAAAAAAATCAAGACCCCTGTTCGCTCAAGACGATGTCCTTGATGGCGGCACATGATACTCGGCTCCAGGCTCGGGCCCAAGACCCCGCCCGGTATCCCTCCTTAGAAATTCCCCAGCTGCGTCCAACCGTGCCGACGGGGAGGGCGCCTGAAGCCACGGGTTCATCTCGCGAGTTTACACCTAAAATAACCTGTACCCCATATGGCACCGTCCACTGCGTCGTCTACGCCCCGTCCACTGCGCCATACACGGCGCCGTGTCCCCAGTCCGCCTACCTCCCATAACTAGGTTTAGGTCGGGCGTGTCCCCATACAGGCGGACTTTGACGGAAAATAAAGCATACACAAACATATTCACACATAAGCAATAATAATCAAACATCGTTGCCAATCTAGCGTTCATAACTATTGTTGAATATTCCTCCTGCAGAGGGACAGGCCCGACCTAAGACTAGGTTGAGCCGTGCAATGCCCAATCGGCTTCGTCAGGCCCGCCGCGCATGGTGAAACCGCGATCCACCGCTCCTCCGCATGGCCTCGCATGGGCTGCGCCACAGGATGCGGCAGACACCCCACGCCCTACGAGGTCGCGCGCGCCCTCGGTGAGATCCCCTGCACCACTACAGGGCAGTGTTTAATACATGGGATCTTTAAACACATAGGATTTGTAATACATGACGAATGTATGACTAAATTTATGCATGAACCCATTTTTGTTTTTAATACTAAATCCCTGCATTTTCAATACATGATCCGCACGCGGAGCATGTATAAAAAAACGGCACTGTACACAGCTGCTAATCGGGTGTTGCCACAGGTGTCCCCGTGTCCCCCGCTTCCCCCGTCATCCGGGAGCCCCTCAGGCCCTCTGGGCCCCGCGAGGGGTGCTCGCGAGGCGATCTGGACCTCCCAGAGAGAATCCCAGGGACACCCTGTGCCAGGGACGGATCCAGCAACACCCGAGCTCGGGGCAGAGGCAGAGGACGTGTCAACCGAGCACGGCGAGCGTCCGCGAGGTCGCAGCCGTCGAGCAGGTGGCGGTGCGCCTGCGAGAACAGCGCGCCGCCGCCCCAGGCGCCGTCCACGTGCAGCCACAGACCGCGCTCCGCGCACACGGCCGCGAGCGCCGGCAGGGGGTCGAACGCCCCGAGCACCGTCGTGCCAGCGGTGGCCCCGACGAAGAACGGCTTCTTCCCAGCCCGCACCGCCTCGGCGAGGGCTCGACGACTCGGACGACGCTGGGGCCTCCTGCTCTCTCACTCCCTCACTCATGGCGGTTGAGGGGTACTCCGGAGGCCATGCACACCGTTCCTGCCCCTCCCCCGCATTGGGGGAGGGGGGCCTCCTGCTCTCTGGGGCTCCTCCCGGGGCGCCCTCGTCGTGGCACCTGCCGGGCGCGGCTCGGAATGCTGGCGCGCCCAGCTGCCGACGTGGGAGCCTCGAGAGGGCCCTCCCGAGCCGTGCCTCCCCGTCGTTGAGGCCTCCTCCTCCTCCTCCTCCTCCTCCTCCTCCTCCTCCTCCTCCTCCTCCTCCTCCTCCTCCTCCTCCTCTCCTCCTCCTCCTCCTCCTCCTCCTCCTCCTCCTCCTCCTCCTCCTCCTCCTCCTCCTCCTCCTCCTCCTCCTCCTCCTCCTCCTCCTCCTCCTCCTCCCTCCACTCCTCCTCCTCCTCCTATCCTCCTCCTCCTCCTCCTCCTCCTCCTCCTCCTCCTCCTCCTCCTCCTCCTCCTCCTCCTCCTCCTCCTCCTCCTCCTCCTCCTCCTCATCCTCCTCCTCCTCCTCCTCCTCCTCTCTCCCTGTCTCTCGAGGGGGCACCGCCTGGGAGGCTTTGGGGTGCCTTTGGAGGTTCTTCGCGATCGCGGCCAGACACGGCTCGAGAACCTCGCCGGGCGGCCAGGACGGACCCCTGGCTTGGAGTGCCATGGGGGACCTGCTCTAGAGAAGGAGCATACCGTAGACTACCCTTTCTCCGACCCTGTACTGCGCCAGACATAGCGTCCGCGTTGTCGGTGGACGTATCCTCCCCGGAGGTGTCTACACGCGTGATGGCGCCCCAAATGTCCATAGACGCTTGTGGCTAGAAAGTGAAAACGGTATTTGGCAACAGCCCGAGGTTTTGGCCTTCTAGAGGCAGATTAGACTTGGACGCCCGCCAACCCAGGTGCGGGCAATAGTTGCATCCGCATTCAGCTCGTCTTGGAGTGTGGGGCTCTCTTCCGCAGAAACTGGAGGCGCGCTGGAGATGGATAAACATCTGGCTCCAAAAGGCTCGATGTTTATTATCCATCTCCAGTGCGCCGCGGCCTTGCGGCACCCCTTTCCCAACAAGTCCAAGACGCTCTGGATATGGATATAAGTATTGCCCGCCCCAGGGTCCAGGGACAGATTCCGAGCGGCCTTGGGTCGGGAAGGCGACGACGGCGACGGCGGCGGCGGCGGTGGTGCCCGCGGCCGCCTCGACGATGCTCCTCTCGAGGGCCTCCGGGAGCATGGCGCCCGCGGCGTCCGTCTCCACGGAGACGAGGTGTGCCGAGCCGATGCCCAGCAGGCGGGCCGTCTTCAGGTACGAGTAGTGCGCCTCGTCTTTGGTCGGGCGTGTCCCCGTACAAGGCGGATCCAGAAGGACAAGGTGCACATGCCCCCCAAAAGCTCGAACAGACGCGAAAAAAATTACAACATAATTGGATATTCCTCCTGTAGAGGGACATGCCCTGTAGAGGGACAATTGTTGGATATTCCTCCCGTAGAGGGACAGTTGTTGGACATTCCTCCTTACCCATACAGATCAGTTGTTGGATATGCCTCCAGTAGAGGGACATGCCCGACTCGAGCCTCGTCGGAGACGAGGGCCACCAGCGGCGGCTCCGAGGAGGCGCCCTCCAGCAATATTCCCGGGGCCGCGCGGTGGCGCGCCAGGAGCATGCCGTAGACGTTGCCCAGCGAGCCGCCGGGCACAAACAGCCCGTCGTGCGAGGCGCCGAAGGCCGGCCCGATGGCGCGCGCCACGCGCGCCAGGGCGTGCTTCTCCATCAGGGTGAAGACGGGGGCCACCTCGTAGGTGTGCACGTTGCCGTTCACCGCCGAGGACACCCAGTCGCCCACCAGCGAGGCGAGCTCGCAGCGGCCGTAGAGCTGGTTGAAGAAGTAGGGGCTGTTCGCCCGCACGGAGTAGCGCAGGATCAGCCGCACGGCCTCGAGGAGCTGGCCCTCGCTCGCGGGCGTGGCGCCCTCCGCGAGGGCGAGCCCGCAGCCCCGCTGCGCGAACGCGGCCTCGAGCTCGCCCGGGGAGGCCAGCTCGACCACGGGGGCGGCCGCCTGGGCGCCAGGGCGCACGTGCTCGCAGAGCAGCGCCAGGACGCCCCGAACGAGGCCGCCGCCCTGGCGGACCCTGTCCTCGGGGAGCGCCCGGGCACCGCCGCCGCTGCTCTCTGCGGGCCTCTCCCGGTGGGCGCGCCCTGGCCAGACAAATCCGACGAGCGCCCAGCCGCGGCGACGAGGGCCCTCCAGGACTTGCAGCAGCGGTAGCTATGGCCTCCGTCCTGTTTTTCTTCCTGGGCAACGGTCGTTACCCGGGAGAGTGAGGGGGGGGGTTCGGGCGGGAGGGTAATGGTGACGGCCGCCGGCCGCGGCTGCGTGCATATGCGCCAGGGTGCGTCCGCGCCACCGGCGCATGAATCGCCGGTGTGCACCACAGCATGTGGCGGGCGGATCCAGGCCCCCACCCCCGAGTACGATCGTTAGGGTAACCCAGGGGGGGGTTGGCGGGGGGCTTGGCCTGGGCAACAGGCGCTACCCTGGGAAGGAACACCAGAAAACGCTCACAGTCCAGCCGTGGCGACGAGGGGCCTCCAGGACGAGGAGCGGTAGCTGTGGTGACCGTCTTTTTCCCAGTCATCCTGTGGTGTTGGGTCCTCGCTGTGATGAGACAGCGCCCCGCGTTCGTCCTTCTCTCCTCTCCTCTCCTCTCCTCTCCTCTCCTCTCCTCTCCTCTCCTCTCCTCTCCTCTCCTCTCCTCTCCTATCCTTCCTCCTCCCTCCCCCCCTCCTCGCCTCTGCTCTTCGCATGTCTCTGTTCCGCTGCCCCCCTCACACGCTTCGTGGCCCAATAGGGAGCTCCACCGAAGGCCCCAGCGGCAGGGTTCGCATGGCGCCACCGCGCCCACTTCGGAACACCCCTCACACGTTTCGAGGCCTCATAGCGAGCTCCACCGAAAGCGCCAGTGCCAGGGTTCGCATGGCGCCACCGCATCCACTTCGGCACACCCCTCACACGTTTCGTGGCCCCATAGGAGCTCCACCGAAGGCCCCAGTGGCAGGGTTCGCATGGCGCCACCGCGCCCACTTCGGCACACCCTTCACACGTTTCGTGGCCCCATAGGGAGCTCCACCGAAGGCTCGGTGGCAAGGCTCTCTTGGCGCCGCCGAACAAACTTCGGCACACCCTTCACACGTTTCGTGGCCCAATAGGGAGCTCCACCGAAGGCCCTGGTGGCAAGGCTCGCATGGCGCCACCGCACCCACTTCGCCACACCCCTCACACGCTTCGTGGCCCCATAGGGAGCTCCACCGAAGGCCCCCGTGGCAAGGTTCGCATGGCGCCACTGCACCCATTTTGGCACACCCCTCACACGTTTCGAGGCCCCATAGGGAGCTCCACCGAAGGCCCCAGCGGCAGGGTTCGCATGGCGCCACCGAACAAGCTTCAGCACACCCTTCACACGTTTCGAGGCCCCATAGGGAGCTCCACCGAAGGCCACAACGGCAGGGTTCGCGTGGCGCCACCGCATCGATGTCGGCACACCCCTCACACGCTTCGTGACCCCAGGGTGCTCCACCGAAGGCCCTGGTGGCAAGGCTCGCATGGCGCCACTGCACCCATTTTGGCACACCCCTCACACGCTTCGAGGCCTCATAGGGAGCTCCACCGAAGGCCCCGTGGCAAGGTTCGCATGGCGCCACCGCGCCCACTTCGGCACACCCCTCACACGTTTCGTCGCTTCGTGGCCCCATAGAGACTCCACCGAATGCCCCCGAGGCAGGGTTCGCATGGCGCCACCGCACCCGTCTCGGCACACTCCTCACGCGCTTCGAGGCCCCATAAGTAGCTCCATCGAAGCGCCCAGCGGCAGGGTTCCACCGCGTCCACTTCGGCACACCCCTCACACGTTTCGTGACCCCATAGGGAGTTCCACCGAAAGCCCCCGTGGCAAGGTTCGCATGGCGCCACCGCGCCGATGTCGGCACACCCCTCACGCGTTTCGTGGTCCCATAGGGAGCTCCACCTAAGGCCCCAGCGGCAGGGTTCGCATGGCGCCATTGCACCAGTCTTGACACACCCTTCACACGTTTCGAGGCCCCATAGGGAGCTCCACCGAAGGCCCTGGTGGCAGGGTTCGCATGGCGTCACCGCACCGATGTCGGCACACCCTTCACACGTTTCGAGGCCCCATAGGGAGCTCCACCGAAGGCCCCAGTGGCAGGGTTCACAATGCGAACCCTGCAATGCGAACCCTGCCACTGGTGGCGCCATGCCATGGCGCCACCGCGCCTATTTTGGTACACCCCTCACACGTTTCGAGGCCCCCCTGGGGAACTCCACTGAAAGCCCCAATGGCAGGGTTCGTATGGCGCCACCGTGCAGATATCGGCACACCCCTCACACGCTTCGTGGCCCCATGGGGAACTCCACCGAAGGCCCCAGTGGCAAGGTTCGCATGGCGCCACCGTACCCATGTCGGCACATAGGGAGATCTTCACCGAAAGCGGGGCACACATCTGCGGTACTGACGCATGCATATGGTTGGGTCTTTCGCCAGGCTAATCGATTCTTTCCCTGATAACAGTCGTTACCCGGGGGAGGGGGGGGGTCGGGCGGGAGGGTGCACCCGCCAGGGTGCATCCGCGCCACTGGCGCATCAATCGCTTGTGCGCACCACAGCATGTGGTGGGGTGGGGGGGGAGCTTGGCCTGGGCAACGAGCGTTACCCTGGGGAGGAACACCAAAACACGCTCACAGTCCAGCCGTGGCGACGAGGGCCCTCCCCATAGAAGAAGAACAAAAGCACATAAATATAATTTTTTGGCGCTCCGCGCGGAGCTCATGGATTCGCGCTGGGCCCCCCACCCTGGCGCGCTCCGCGCGCCAGGGGCGGCGCCGGCGCCGCCGGGTGGCCCAGGCGCGGATCCGAGAAGTCCGCGCGGAGCGCCAAAAGTTTAGGTCTACGTGTTTTTTCCGATTCGATTGTCCTCCCTTGCCGTCCAGCAGGCGGATCGCCAGCGCGGTGCAGGCGGCGGTGGCCAGCACGAGCGGCAGCTGCTCCGCGACGGGGTGCCGCGCCGCGGGCGGCCCCCCACCGGGCATGGCGGCGAGCGGCCCCCGGCCGGGCGCGCCCGGGCCTCGCGTAGGGCAGCCGCGGGCACTCGAGGCTTACGTCGTAAGTCGGGAAGGTCCCTCTACAGGAGGAATGTTCCCAAATTCTTAACAGAATAATGGGGGAACGATGTTTTTAGCATTGTTGTGACTATTTTCGAATATGTTTTGAATCTCTTTGCTTTTTCGCCAAAAATCCGCCTGTAGGGGGACATGCCCGACCTAACACGAGGCGCGGGCGGCTCCTGAGCCTTTTCTTCTTTTGTGTTGCCGGCCGCAGCTTCGCCGCAGCGGTAACCGGAGCACAGGCGGCCCGTCTCAGAAGGATGCGCGATAAGGACGCGAGGGCCTTGGACGCCTCTTTCGAAGCTTCTCGAGCGGGGCGCGGCCAACAAACGTGGCCAGGGGCGCACCGAGGAGGCAAGGATGCAAGGGCACCCTTGGAAAGGGTTGCCCTGCGGGTTGACTCTGGGCTTGTGCTATCGCTGATGGAGAACGTGTGCCGAGCCGCCGGGGAGGGGGAAGGTGGGAGGGCAAGGGCGCCTCCCCAGCCCCCTCCTCGTCGCAGACCTCGGAGGCCCCCCGACCGCCTCTGCACTTGCCCCTGCCTTTGCCTCTGCAGCCTCCTTTCCTCCTCCTCCTCTTCCTTCTCCTCCTCTTCGTCCCTCCTCCACCTCCTCGCTTCATCTTCCCAGTTCTCCCCCCCCTCCGGGGGGCAGTTTAGACGCTAGCCAGCAGCGGCCGAGAGGGCATGGCAGAAACATAGCAGAAACTGCAGGGAGGCCTCCAGGCGGGCGAGAGGGCTAACGTTACGGAGCAGCCGAGAGCGAAAAGCGACCAAACAGCCGTCGACACACATGCCAGAGACACGCTGCACGAGAACTAAATGGTCATGCGAGGGATCTGAAAACAACGACAGAGGGCAACGACGGGCTGAATGCAATCTGAACAGTAGTCCAGCACAAAGGGCGATGCAAGGGTATGCATGAGATCACGGTCGCAACCTTCGAGCCTCCTGGAGGACGTGATTTACCAGCCTCGAACGTATCCCTATCCTTAAGATTGACACGCCAAAAAGGCGATGACAATCTTAGGGATTCGCTCTCAAAGAAATAAGGGAATCCCTGAGATTGGCATCGTGACGAGGAGGTGCCCAGCATAGGGATAGGGATATGCTCCAGGCTTGCAAGTGATGCAAAACCCCCCGAGGAGCCCCGACCACGGGAAACGAACACACGGTCCAGAGGCAAAACACGGGCGACTCCAAGACTCCACAGAAATCCAGCACAAAGGGCGATGCAAGGGTCTGCATCAGATCACGGTCGCAACCTCCGAGCCTCCTGGAGGACACGATGCAAAACCCTCCGAGGAGCCCCGACCACGGGAAACGAACACACAATCCAGAGGCAACCCACGGCAGAGGCAACCGACGGGCGACTCCACGACGAGCCGGCGACGGGCCGCACGGCACGGAGTGGGCCGGCGCGAGGGGGCAGGCTGCCGCGCCTGCCGGCTGCGCAAAAGCTCCCTGGCCGTCGGGGGGAGGTCAAGAGGGGGGTGTCCAAGAGGGGGGGGTGCAAATCATGACCGGCGGCATGCTCGCCATCGCTCGGACTTCCATTCCCTGTGTTTTTTTCTGTTTCGTGTGTGGTTTTTTCGCCAAATGATCAAGGATGCTCCTCGATGGTCCCCACCGAGGAAAAAATGCACACGTCCAAGCGATGCCAAGCACGTGCGCGGCCCAGCGGGGGGGCCAGGGACGTGATGATGTAAGAAGAGGCGCCATGAAATCTGGGCAAATATCATGGCCCCCGCCATGATATCCACCCCCCCTAGTCATCACCCCCCTCTTTTCCGCCCCCGACGGCCGTCGGGAGGTCGGGGTGCATCCGCGGCCGGGCCTCGCTGCGCGAACAGACGCGCTCAACCCCTTCGCGCAAGAACCCGGGCAGGGGTGGCGCAGCAACCGCCACGACTGCGGGGAAGCAGCCTCGAGTCGCACTCCCCAAGAAAAGAACTCCCGAAGCGACTGTTCGTCCAGGGGGGGGAGGGAGAAACTTGGGGATGAGGTGGGCAATTCATGCTCCGAGATGGGATGGAAAACGACTGGGCAGCCGGACGCCAGCTTGGACTTGAACGAGCAGCGATTGAGCAGTGCGAGCGCAGTTCTGGAATGAACACGCTCAAGGACAATAGCCTCCCTAAGCCAGGAATCGATTGGCACTGCGCGGGTAGGATGCCACTTGGAGGCAAGGGGGGTACAAACGCATCTGCGACGCGACCCCCACTAAGATAAATGATGTGCATCATGATGCTCGAGTCGCAATGCACTACGTGAAGAGGAGGAGCAGAAGGAGGACCAAGGGAGAAGGAGAAGGTGGAGGGGGAGGAGGCGAGAAGGATGGGGGGGAGAGGAAAGGTAATACATGAGGGGAGAAGAGGAAAGGGGATGTGAGAGGAGGACGGCACTGAAGGGCAATGAGAAAAAAGGGAGGAGGGAGCATGCCGAGGAAGGGGGTGGAGGTGATATGATATGTGACGTCATAATGTGCTGTGGCGCGCTAGGCAATCCACAACGAATCGAATACACATGACAATTAAACGGCGGTTGCGCCGCATCGCGCCGTGCTGAAACCGTGATACCACATACTGGCGAAACCAGACCTGAAACAAAAGCAAGGCGGCATCGTTGATAGGAACAACGCAACTGACAAGATAACGGGCAACTGGGAAAACGAGCACGTGCGCGTGGTCGAACTCGCAGGACGTGTGTATTCCACAAGCAATACTTGCACTTACGGGTTCTTCCTTCTGTTCTACAGTCGGGGTCCTGAAGTAGGAACCCTTGTCGGTGGGGAGGGGCTCCGCGTTCCTTAAGTGTTTCACAGTTTGCCTCAGGTTTTCCGTATGTGTTCGATAAGAACTCGAAGTTTAACTTATGGACAAAAAGGGCCTCGTTCCTTATGTAGGTTTCAACTTCAACTTCAACTACGGACAATGCGTCGAACACACATCCTACCTGCCCACTACCCGCTGTGTCCTCAGTCCACCAAGATTGTCGTGAATAGTACGTCGAGAGACCACTCCAAAGCTAAAGATTCAGCCATAAACGAATCAACCAGAATACCAAAACATCGTCCCGCCCGAATTATCATTTGCCCGTGGCCAGCACAATCGTATGCGTAAATGGCAATCCCCCCGGCAGCCTGCCCATCGCCTCTCCGCGCCCCGTCCAGGCACGCCCGAAGATTCCAGCATTGCTGTCTTGCCTGGGCAAGGAGACCGGGATCTCGCCCTTCCCAATCTCTGTGGTCGTCGAGAGAGACGTCGGCAACATGATCAGCGACAGAGTTGAATTTCCGCTCGTCCCACTCGATGAAAGGCGTGGTGTTCAAGCGTGGTAAACGCCCGGAATGCAACGGCTTCTCCATGCACCGACCAACGCGAACAAACAGAGGACGCATAGTGGACTGCCCCAGGCAAGCCCGTCCCGCGCAAACCCGCTCTAGCGTTTGACTGTCTGTCTGAATCCAAACGCGGCGAGATCGAGCATTCCAAAAATCCTCCTTTGGGTTCGGCAGGAGAAGGGGTGCGTCATGGATCCCGGCATAGAGACGCATGCGTTTGGGCGGTGGAGCTGAAGCGCTGTCCTCGTCCGAGATCTCCGGCAAACCCCACGACATGCATATCCGTTGAAGAAACTCTGGGAAGATGCTCATCCACGAAGATACTGCGTGGCACTGGCCCCGCCGATCTCTCCAGGTCGCCCCCCAGACAGCAACGAATACTGATTCCCAATTGGTGGGCTGGTGTCCGCAGCAGCGACGTACAAGTCCCAATTTCCTCCTTTTGCTCTGCGTCGTTGTCGCCGCCATTGCTTGCCACCAAAACTGGCTGCGATACCCGTGCAGATGTTGGACAGGCGATTGGCCATCGCCAAGAAAAAACTGCGTTTCTTTCCACGCGCTTTTGAAGAAATGCTTTACGATCCGAGCCCAAATCGTAAGTGTACCAGTGCGCTTCGTCCATAGTTCGATGAACCTCGCCGCGCTGGTGTAATAAGATGATGCCCCCTGCCCGGGCCGCCGTCGTAGCCGGAAGGCTTTCCGTAGAAGTCCAAGTTCCCGGCGCCGTGAAGTGCGAAGTAATCCAGGTGTTAAATGCCACGTGTTGCAGTTGTACAATGCTATACTCGACGGCCCTCTGCTCCATGCTCCCAGCCTCTTCGCAATGCTGGGCCCCGGGTTGTTCAGCACGGAATATTGTTTGTAGAAATGCCCATCCGAATTCAAAACTCATGAGGTTCATCTCAAGACTGGCCAAAGAATTGCCGTGCGGATCGAATAAATCACCCAGCAGTTCCAACCGGTTGGTCTCTGCGAGCGCCAGGAATTGCCCCGCCTGTGTGATCGTTAAGTCGCCTGGCGGAGTTGCCAACAGCCGCCCTCCCCGGATGAACTTCAACGAAGAAGGTTTCCATTGAAAGTAGCGCTTCCCATGTGCATCCACGAACTGACCAATTGCAGCATCCAAATCATGGATCATAGATTGCATCATGGAGAAGGTGGTAGCGAAGAGGACCACGTTGTCTGCCCAGATCGCATGGTGAATAAAAGATATTCCGCATGTCCGTCCCCGTCTGGTAGCGAAAACCCCATCCCGAGAGATGGCCATTTGTCCACGACGGGTTGAAGGACGTGCTGCAATAGCGCATTCCATTCCATTGGCGTCTCCACTCCCCCTTGCTTGCCGCTACGGGAGAAACTGAAAAGAGGGGTGCTCCCGACCATAGGCAGGGTGATGCGAGCTTCGACTCCAGTGAGCTCCCTCGTAAGAATCGCTGCATCCCACGTCGACGCTCCACGGGCCTGCATCGACTCCAAAATGAGCTCGTGCGGCATTGAATCGAAAGCTGTGGCCACATCCTGCACTCCAATTAACACCGGTAAGTTCCATACTCTGGAGTGATGCAACACTTCCCGAACAACGCTCGTGAGGTGACAGGTCGAAGTTGTTTTCCGGAAGCCATACAAGTGGACCCTGGAAGGAATCATGTTCTGTTGTATCTGAATGCGGCACGTCCGTAAAAAAACACTTCTGGAGAACAGGAGACTTGCCGATCCAGCGCAAATCACCAAATAACAGAACGAACTTCTCCTTCGGGAGCCCAGCAAATTCTAATATCTTCCAGTGTGGAGAAAATGC